GAAGTGTTAGAAGTCTTGAAGAAAGAGAAGTTGTATGCTAAGTTCTCCAAATGTGATTTTTGGATTCGTGAAGTCCAATTCTTGGGTCACGTGGTCAACCAAGAAGGGATAATGGTTGATCCAGCGAAGATCGAAGCTGTGATGAAGTGGGAACAACCGAAAAGTACCACGGAGATCCGAAGCTTTTTAGGATTAGCCGGATATTACCGAAGGTTTATCCAAGGCTTTTCTTCGATTGCTACTCCATTGACAGCTTTGACCCACAAAGGAGCTACTTATACTTGGAGTGATAAGCATAAAGAAGCATTCGGGAAGCTAAAAAAGAAGTTATGCGAGGCACCGATACTTTCTCTACCCGATGGAGTCGAAGACTTCGCTGTTTATAGCGATGCGTATGGGGTTGGATTGGGTTGTGTTTTGACCCAAAGAGAAAAGGTGATAGCATATGCGTCTCGACAACTAAAAGAGCATGAAAAGAACTACCCGACTCATGATTTGGAGTTGGTAGCGGTAGTTTTCGCTCTGAAAATATGGAGGCATTACCTCTATGGCATGAAGTGAAAACTTTTCACTGATCATAAGAGTCTCCAATATCTCTTCAATCAGAAAGAGTTAAATATGAGGCAATGACGCTGGCTAGAGTTACTCAAGGACTACGACTGTGAGATACTTTACCATCCCGGTAAAGCTAATGTTGTTGTTGATGCTCTCAGTCGGAAAGTCAATCTTGAAAGGAAAAGGCCAAGAGCGTTGAGAATTGAAGTTGTCTCAACTATTTTAGAAAGTATAAAGAAAGCACAAAGCGAAGCTTCTGAGAAGAATGACCGGAAGGAGGAACGTTTGGGCAAAACGTTGGTGTTTGGTACAAACGGTCATGGACTGAAGGTATTCCAAGATCGTATTTGGGTACCTAAGTCAGGGGGAATTAGGGATCTTCTGAAGGAAGAAGCTCACAAAACCATGTACTCGATTCATCCCGGTAGCACTAAAATGTATAGGGACCTGAAACCCTACTACTGGTGGCTGAAGATGAAGCTTGATGTTGCAAAGTATGTGGCTGAGTGTGTGACTTGTGTAAGAGTCAAGACACAACATCAGAAACCGTACGGGAGTTTAGAACCATTGCCTGTGCCTATGGGTAAGTGGGAAGACATTGCTATGGATTTTGTCACTAAACTGCCCAGAACGAAGAATGGTCACGACATGATTTGGGTGGTCGTCGATCGATTCACTAAGAGTGCGCATTTCATAGCAGCCAGGGAGAAATGGTCTATGGAAAAGCTTGCGAATTCTTATATGAAGGAAATTGTGAGACTTCACGGTGTTCCGCTAACAATTGTGTCGGATCGTGATAGTCGTTTCACCTCAAGGTTTTGGAAATGTCTACAAGAGGAAATGGGTACCAAGTTATGTTTAAGTACAGCTTACCATCCGCAGACTGATGGTCAGAGTGAAAGAACGATACAAACACTTGAAGATATGCTGAGAGCATGTACCTTGGAATTCCTAGGTAATTGGGATGAACATTTACCATTAGTAGAATTTTCCTATAATAATAGTTTTCACTCGAGCATTAAGATGACACCTTACTAAGCTTTGTATGGACAAAAGTGTCGTACGCCGTCTTGTTGGCTTGAGGCTGGGGAAAAGCAGTTTATGGGACCGGAGATGGTTCATCAAACTGCTGAAAAGTTGAAAATAATTAGGGAAAGAATGTTAGCGGCTCAGGATCGTCAAAAGAGCTATGCTGACAAAAAGCGAAGACCGATAACTTTTGAGGTTGGGGATTCGGTTTTGCTTAAAGTCTCGCCGTGGAAGGGACTTATAAGATTTGGTAAAAGGGGAAAGTTGAGTCCAAGGTTTATTGGACCGTTTAAAGTTCTTCAGAGGATTGGGAACCAAGCTTACAAGCTCAAATTACCCGAAGAACTGAATGGAATTCACAACACGTTTCATGTGTGTTATTTGAGGAAGTTCACGGGAGAAGTTCCCGATATAATTCCAATTTCCGAATTGAGAATTGATGAGAACAAAAGTTTGATTGAAGAACCAGAGGCAATTGTTGACCGAAAGACTAAGAAGTTGCGACGCAAGATGGTCGAGTTAGTTCTTGTCTGATGGAAACACACGAATGGGCCGAATCTCACCTGGGAGACGGAGAGTGACATGTTGAGTCGCTATCCGCATTTGTTTGTTGATGAGTGATTCCGGGGACGGAATCATTCTAAGATGGAGAGAATTGTAACGCCTATGTTTCTGGGCTTGCCATTTTTAGCAATGTAATGGTCTAGGTTAACCTTTGTAACCCGTTTTGAAATAATATAAGTGTATTATTTGAGTATTATGTGTTTTGTGCTTAATTGCTTAATTATGTGGTTTGATTAATTAAGAATAAAAACAAGCGTCAAAATTTAAGTGTAAAATAAACTTGATATCTTTAGATAATGTTGTAGCAGTTGAAACAAGGTTTCCGAGGATATAAACAATGCCGAAATCCGAGTTATAACGAAGAAGTTATGACCTGTCAAAGTTTCGCGACAGAACCGACAACGCTGAATGATGTAAAAAGTGAAATTTACGTTAAAGCGATATTTAGTCTTAGTGATCTAAACGAGAATCAAAGATCTCGTTTTTAGTATCAAAGCGATAAAAAGTTAGGCGAGAACGGACGTCAAACGAAGAAGTTATGAATTTATAACGAAATTTTCTGTCCCGGCCTATTAAAAATAAATAATAAAAATAAATTCAAAATTAGCCGATGGAATCCAAACGAAAGTTTTAGAGCGTAGTCTCACCTTCGCGTGGATATAAAGAACGTCGAAAACGGAGTTCGTATGAAGGAGATATGAATTTCCGAAGTTAATTAAATAATTAATAGTTAAACTTAATTATTAAACCCCGACATTATCCAAAGAGGAGTCAGCGATCCGATCTGAAGTATGCCCCACGTACACCGAAGATGTCGACACTCGCACTCGAGGACTTCGGATGACGAACGCAGTGACGATTTCGGACCTGTACGCCCCGCGTACTCCGAGGCTCTAGCCTCCTATAAATAGGATGCGAGGGCAGCCAGATTCTTTGCTATTTTTCTCCATTCTTTCTCCCGTTTTGCCTCGATTTGCGTGCCAGAAATACCCCGAATCCCCGGTAATATTCCCGAGTCCCGAAGCAAGTCCCGAGATCCCGAAGATCCCGAGAAGTGCGGTTTCCGAGCTGAAGCTCTGCCCGCGAGAAGTTCGATTTTTGTAGAGATTTTCCAGATCTGCTGAGGATTACTACTTTTGCAAGTCGTAGTACTGTCCGATTATCTTCTGATCAAGTGAGTGTGTAGTTAATTTCTTCTAACGCATAATTATGAAGTATTTTATACGAAATACGTGTTATGTGTATAATTTTGTTGTTATGTGCGTGAATGTATATTCACTCTTTTCAATCTTATAGATCTGAATTGTTTTCTATGAAATACGTGTTATGTGGGTATGCCTCATCTGTTATGTGAAATATGTATTGAATGAAAACGCTATATAGGTTTTAAACTATGTATAAATATATATTTTTATCTACTAATATGTTGGGTAGAACATGGGTAGATAGTTGGTGTGTAATAAACAGATGAGAGACCTCGATGTTGTTGCTGTTAACCTAGTTATTCAGCGGAGTATGGATAACGACCACAAACTCCTTCTAGACAGTCTCGTGGAATGCCAGCAGGTTCATAACCTGTAGGTGTTGTGAACGATGTGTTCACCGGTGTACTCTATCCCCCTCATGGTTGCCTTTAGGATATCTATTGTTGAGGAAACCCCTTAACAGTAATGTCCGTCCCGATAAAAATCCTAGATTAGGTCCCTTGAGATAGATGTTGTTTTAGGGACGTAAAGTGAGGATAACGGGAATGGGTAATCGGGATAGTGATTGGTTGGTGAAATTAAATATAATTTATTTATTGTGGGTTGAAAACCCTATATGCTCACTAGGCTCCCAAGCCTGACCCTCTCAGTTTTATTTATATTACAGGAAGTGGCGCAAGGTCGTAAGATGGATGAACCATCAAGTTGTTTTGTTTACAAATCTGCATATGTATATATTTGTTGAATGACTTGTAATGTTATCGTTTATGCTTATTGGTCTGTATCGGAACATGACACCCCGAGTTTTGATTATATAATGAAAAATACATTTCTTTTATGAAATGCTTTGGTAAACATTGTTTTATCATGTTTTATTTTTGGGAACAAATTCCGCAACTCTTTCAAATCAAAAGGATTTGCTCTGAAATTATTTTAAAAGCATAAATGAAAATCGGTCTTTTCTGGCCGTGATTTTGGGGATGTCACATTCGGTTAACCCAAATAATGGAAAAGTTTCATTAATTGAATCCAGTAAGAAGGTTACTGTTATTCGGTTAATTAAACTAAATTACTCGAAAAACAAAAATTATCCAATCTTTATTCGGCTAGGTGGTTTATTGAATTTCAGTTTTCATTTGAATTGCTATTCAATTGTTATATGAGAAAAACAAACTTTTTAATTTTTTTATGAGCATGTCAAGTTTAGCATATTGTAGGAATAAATGGTAACGTTTTATGAAAAACAGAATGCCGATGAGGTAATCGATTAAAATTTATAGAGTTTGTGGATGTCTTTATATGCTCCAGTTTTGTTCACGTTGTTGATTCCATCTACCATTTATATGCTTTATGCCGAGAACTCGAAAACAAACTTAATCCTTAAAATATGGTGAGTTAAAATCATAACACAACCTTAAGTAGATTTAAATTCTTGATGGATAAAAAAAGCCATTCATCCAGGGATATTATAAGAACATGAGATAAGTAGGTTAAAATTCCTACAAATTTAAAGGATTCTTGAAGCCATGCAAGAAGCATGAAAATTAAATGGTAGTTAACCCATCAAGAATGCATGTTTAAGCTAATTAACCTTAGCAACATCGAACACCAATTATTTCAAGAATTAACAGCAAATACCACGTAGCCATGGATACTTACGTGAAACTCTATCTCTCGACTCTTATCATGGCATTGTCACTCATCATCTCATCAGTGTTTGCCAGTCCTTCTGCAAACAATGACATTGTCGTGGCTATCCAAGAGATGGAGAGAGCAAATTACTTCACCTTTGTCATGCTTATAAACATGGTTCCTCCTAGTATGTTCCAAGGTAATATCACTTTCTTGATGCCAAGTGATAGATCACTCTCCAGAACAAAGATACCACAAAACAGTGTCATAGATCTCTTGCTTAACCATTCCATTCCCTCCCCTTTACTTTTCGATCACCTTATTCATTTGCCCACAAACAGCACACTACCTACATCAAACCCTGACTTAATGCTTAAGGTCTCTAATAGTGGCAGACGAGGTTTGTTTCTTGGGAATGTTAGAATTGTTAGTCCTAATATATGTACACATGGGTACTTGGTGCGGTGCCATGGAATAGATGATGTGCTTAGTGTTGACATAGAGAAACCAGAAATCACATGCCCTAGAGTTTCCTCTCCAATTCCAGCTACTACCCCATTGTTGGCACCTACTAGTCAGGCTCCTGCATCAAATCCACCTCATGCTGACGCTTATGAAACCTCAGGTGGTCGAAGACCACATATAGAGTTAACATTGACATGTATCGTGTTTATGTGGGTATTATTTATAGTAAAGTCGTGTGTTTGATTTAGCTCATGATTTTTTTATTCTTCTAATTGTTGCAATTTCCATAACCTTACGATATACATGTATGTGACCCCCATAAATTTGTAATGTTTATCAAATAAATCATCTGAGTAATAAGTTAATCTGGTTTTATTCTTTATTTTAAGGCCACCACATTGTTCCTAACTTAATCCCCACCCTTTCCACCAAGTACCATACATATAACATCGTCATTACAAGAAAAGTAAAAATATGGTCACTAACAACATCATTAGTCACCATATATTAAGTTGTCATCGAATTTTGGTAGTAATGCAAATTTAATGATAAAATCTACGATGGTTGTTACTAAGCGGTAACTAAATCATAGAAAAAAATTATTATTACTATTTAATTTCGTGACAAATATTAATGACTATAAAGACTGGTTACTTATTTGATGCTTAATAACCAAAACTAGTTGCTACTGCATTGGAGACTTAGTGACCAAAAATTATGGCCATTAAGTATTATTCGTTTTTCAAATCCACACATTGTGATGACATAATTTAAGTCAAGGAATTACAACATAAAAAATATCAATAACCAGAAAATACTTGTCACTTATTATTTATAGAGAAATCTCAGTTACAATCTTATTATTTTATCATAATTTACAAATAATTCACAAAATAAATTTTGTTTTACGAAAAAATATATGAATTACCAGTAAAAATGACGTTTTAAATAAGTTAGATAAATCTCCATTAAAATACCATTATTTTACCATAATTAATGAGTAACTCTCAAACTAAAATTTATTTATGAAAAAATATGAGTTACTGGTAAAAATGATGATTTGTCCATTTTCTCCATGTAACACATATTTTACCGGTATTAAATAAACGTGCGAGATGAAGATGATGACTTATATAATGCTCTGTTTACCGTAAAACTTGATTCCATCTCATTATCTCAATTAATGAATAAGCGTCCATGCCAAAGAAACCGATAAAATGTGTGTTATCGGGGAAAAATGGCAGAACATAAGTTTATGATACAAATATGCGAAGTTATATAACATTAGATATACAATTTGAAATTTCTTCTAAACTTTAAGATTATGAAGTTTTTGTTAGTTTATGTAATTATTGTAGTCTTTGTTGGATGCATTTCATAGTCCAAAAAATATACAATGCATCAGGATATCAAGTTTTATGGTAAGCATTTATAGGTTTTATAGGTTACAAAAAATATGTGGTAGAAAAAAAACTTAACCCTAAGCTCACATGCAACCTATTGGATCTAAGTTTTCTCTATTTCTTGCAACAAACAATTGAACACCAATAACCCTAGGAATACCCTATTATAATCGAAATTCATAAAGGGTTTGAGGGTTTACATACACCTTGATTATTGTAGTAAATAATCAAACAATTCCTTCTTGAACAAGCTTTAGAAAGCAAGCACCAGAAATTTCCTGTCTCTAATTATTTGTACCCAAATCCTACCAATAGAAAACTTGAGAGGAGACAAGAGGGAGGATGGAATTTTGGCTTTTCTTCTTGAGAAAGGAACGACCGAAAATTTAAGCTCCAAGGATCCTTATATAGCTGAATTAGGAAACCTTGAAAACCCTAATTTGAATATAATAGTACTATCTCAAATTAGGTGATAATCCACACTCCTAATTATCCTTAAGGATTAATCTAGAACACTAAGGAGGCTCCATATTTTTGGCCTACCTGTTGAGGTCGAATGGTGTTGTGAGGTGTCGAAGTGTCATGAGTCTATCTTAGTGTCGAATTATGTAATAGATGTTCGTTTTATGTATTTCATAAGGTCACATTTCTATGTTGAAGCTTAACTGTTCTAGCCCTTATGTATTTTTTTGTAAACTTCTTTCATTCCTACAAATAGGGATAGGTGTTAGAGTTAGAGTAACTTTTGAGCCTTCGCTATATTTATTCAAAGAAACTCAGTTGTATCTTTTAAAAGTTTAATTGAGCCATCCAAATTATATTTACTCGTGTGTTCTTGATTTAAATACAAACTCTGATTTCATTTCATATTCTCGATTAACAACAACTACATTTGGTACTAGAGAAGGATTCTTATAGTTGATCTCTGATTTTCTCAAGTTTTCAAAAGTTTTTGAATCTCGTTCTAGATTCAAAATTTTCCATACTTTTGATTCTGAAAATCTTTTCAGATCATTTTTATTGATTTGATTATGTTTTTAGTTTGTTAAATCGAGTGTTTCGTGTTTGATTTCTGGAAATTTCATTCACCATATCTTAATTTTTGAAGCTTTTCTCAAATCTCGTCCGTACAACAATGGCTAACTTCAATATGAACACGATGTCAGGGTTTTCTCATCGTTTGGGTTCTTCAACCAAAATTCCTATGTTAATCCCCGAATACTATGAACAATGGGCTGGCAGGATGGTGGATTATCTCATAGGGATTGACGAAGATTTATGGAGGTGTATTAAGAGCAATAAATTTTGTCCATCGATGCTTTCTGATGTCGGAAGTGATGGTTCATCCATTGATGTAACTACTCAAACTAACAAGTTTAAAACAAATGATAAGAGATGCATGTGTGAATTGTGAGGTGCTCTTCCACGTGTTGAATATAACTATGTCCGTTGACATTCTACGGCTAAAGAAATTTGGGATACATTGAAGGAGAAGTACCAAGGAAGTGAGAAAATGAAAAATATTTTTGTTAAGCAATGTCTGCTTGAGTTAGGTGAATTCAAGCATAAAGAATGTGAGAATATTGAGCTTTACTACGATCGTCTGAATGAATTAATCTTCAGGTGTAGTAGATATGGAGTCAACAGGTCGACAATAGAGTATAACTTGACTTTCTTAGTAGGGCTTCGTAAGGAGTGGCGCAATGTCAGTTTGATGATAAAAACCCAAGAACACTTTGACAACTTTTCTCTTAGTGATCTTTACAATGAGGTGAAGGCTCATGAAAGAAAAGTCAATGAGATAGTGTCACACCCCCAAACCAGAACGACGGAAACATCTGAGGGCGGATGGAGTGAATTCATGTACAGTATCATAACAATTGAATACTAATGAAACATAGCAACACAAACATTCATACATTTGGATTTAAAGTATTACATTGTTTACAAACACAATTGTTCAAAAGTCAAATACAAATAACTGAAGAATAGGTAAAACACGAATGACGATGCCGACCCTCAAGAAGGGTTGGGTACCTGCCTGCTAGATCCCTGAGAATACAAGTCGTTATGAAAGGCGTCAACTAAAAAGTTGGTGAGTTCATAAGAATTTTTATATGAAATAGTTTACACTTGTTTAGAAACGTTCTTGTTGTACTTTTAGAAAATCCGATATTTTCTATAAAAAGAATTGTAAGTCTCGTTCTAAAAACCGTGAATATATGCATGCATGCCCTTTGTTTCCTTCTGCTATACTTGTAAGGAGCGTGTTCCCAGAAAATCCAATATTTTCATAAAATGTAGTTGTGAGTCTTGTTCCCAAAACCGTGTATAATTGAATGCATGTTCTATACTTTTCTTTGTTTGTATTAGAAAAAGTGTGTTCCCAGAAAATCCTATATTTTCTCTATATAAAATAGTTGTGGTCTTCAAACCCTAAGACCAAGAAGGTGATTTTTGTTTATAAAGCAAACGAAGCGTAGTTTGGTGTTTTATAAAAACTAGTAGACTGTCAATTCTTCGTACACCCTAAGTTAATGGAATACTGCTCTATGTGAGTCGTTAAAACCATACTAATATGACTAAACGCATGTCTTGACGTTCTTCAGGCATCGGTTTCTGAAGATAATTATCACCCTAGACTGTCATGTCTAGCTGCAGCGAGCAGGTCAGGTGTGGGGGTGTCAACCTCGTATAGATCTATACACAATATCTCGCTCTCCCTCCAAGAGACTCTGGTTATAACTACAGGACTTACATTGTACACTAGGTAGGTACAGTGAAGGAAAATCTCACAAGAGCCTCAACAGGTTTACGCGAGTTTTGAGTCCCTTTTTCAAATAAGAAAATAAATTATTTATTTCAAACTTGCGACAGATGCTTTATGAGACACGTTTTACAAAATTCATGACATGCGGTTTTCCTTGTTTTTAGAGTTTTTCTGGCACACAGTTTATGACACGTCAATATTTCGATCATGAACTATTTTATCCACCATTTTGGTAAAGCTATTTATAACACTTTTATTAAAAATAAGCATTTCAAAAGGTAACTAGATTTAACATTTGGTATAAAATAACATGATATCTTGGGTTTTAACCCATCAAAATCGTGAATACAAATTTACAACTATCTTACTAAAATAGTTATCTTTAGTAAAATAGTAAATCATCTATTTATGTTTTGTGCGTTGTTACCGGTTTGAAAGTTTTGAGTCAATATATCTACATGTTGCTTTTTATGATGACACATAGGATAAAAATTCATTTTTCCCAACTATTTATACCGATTTTAAACACAATATTTAAGATGCATACGATTACCCAACGGTTAAACACATTGCACATGGGTACATGTTAATATCCCCCCCCCCCCCCCCCCGAAAACATGATGTGACATCCCTAAAATCACGGCCAGAAAAGACCGATTTTGTTTATGCTTTATAAAAATCAAAGTACTTCATTTTATAAAAATGTTGCGGAATTTGTTCCCAGAAAAACATGGTAAATACGTCATTAAAACATTTTCGAAGAAACATATTTATTTCATTTTAAAATGTTTGGGATGTCATCGTTAATACAGAAACATAAGCATAAACAGAACTTACAATTTTTTTACACTAGTGATCTACATCTCTTTAAATCTCTCAGTGTAATGTCACTTCATATCAACACCTGTGATATAAATAAACTGAGTGGGTCAGGTTGGGAAACCTGGTGAGTACATAGGGTTTTCAACCCACAATAATATAATTATTATGTTTAAACAATCAAACAATCAACCCAATTACCCATCCCCATTATCTTCTCTATTCTTAAGGATCTACCCTAAGAATCAGCTATTTCTCATTCATTCATTCCTAAGGATCATCCTAAGGAAACAACATGAAGTCCATTGTTGCCAATGACACATTGGTTAAGCGCAACTGCTAATCTTGTCACTTAGACACAGCTGCCAGAATTGGGACATTTCATATGAGGCGCTTCTACCGGTATTGACCTTTAAACGCTACTATCATGGTCATAAGGATCCCTATTAGGCGCAACTGCCGATACTGTCCATAGAGCGCAGTTGCTAGGACGTTTACTGTAGATCTAAAACATCTACGGGTTGTGGCGCAGCTACCAGTGCTCATCTATAGGGTACTAGGTCCACTGCTGCCAATGTATACCTATAGGGCACTAGGTCCATGCTACTAATGTTCCTCTATTTCAGCTATTATCCCTCATCATTCATCTACCCATGTTTTACTCAACATATTTTGTAGATATAAAATACTTTATACAATTTACATCATTTAAAACATGTATAAAAAATCTTTCACCAGTATAGACAACAAGTATTCAGAAAATATGCACACATAGCACGTAATTTATAATAAAATACTTCATATCTATGTGTAAGCTGAAAGTAACTATGCACTCACTTGATTAGGTGGTGACTCAGCACTCGGACAGTGCTTCGATACTCTCAAAACGATATTCCTTTGATAAAACCTAGTATCGATACCACTAGGGTTTAGTTTAACGATAACCGTGACAAACTAATTAGTCCGAGTATTATTAAGCCTTAATAATACTCGGTATAACTCAAAATAATAGCCCAAATAATTATTTTAAGGACCTAATAACATTCCTATAGTTATTTGAAAGCTATATTAAAAATTGCGTAAGCGTAGCACACTTACAACGAATTTTATCGAAAACCTGAACTTAATTGGAGCAGCGTTTCGAAACCGAAAGGCTCTTTTTCTCGGGACTCCGGGAGCCTCGGGGCTTCCCTAGGGTGCTAGGGGGTTTTTCTAGGGTTTAGGGGGGTTTGGGGGTTGTAGAGAGAGAAAGAATTTAGAGAGAGAAAGGATTTTGGTGTGAAAAATGAGGGCAGCCTCAGCCTCCTTTTATAGGTGCGAAGCCTTGGTGGTACGCAGGGCGTTCAGCAGCTACGCAGGGCGTAGCTTCGGATCAGACCTCCAGGTGTCAAGCTTCGCATGGTGCTACGCGGCCTGATGTCGGACCACATGAAGACCTTTCGTACGCGGCGCATTCTGAGCTCGGACGCTGGGCATAGCGAGGGGCGACGCGTCACTTATCTGAGGCGGGTACTGAGTCAGCAATGGAGGGTCCAGATTGCGCCACATCATCAATCTCGCAACAGACTTCGCAAATTTCCTTCTCGACTTCTAAAAATCATAACTTTCGCATACAAGCTCCGTTTTCGACGTTCTTTATATCCACGCGAAGGTGGGAACGTACTCTACAACTTTCGTTTAGACTTCGTTGGCTAATTTTGGCTCGATGTTAAATTTTATATTATTAACGGGCCGGGACATGATTGGTCCGTTAAATCCTCATAACTTCTTCATTCGACATCCGTTTTTGCCCATCTTTTTCTCGTTACCCTACTCTTAACGAGATCTTCGATTCTCGTTTAGGTTGTGTCGGCTAAAAACCGCTCGATCTAATACTCGAATTTCAGGTTGTACACTGTTATTCCAAAACTTCGAAAAATCATAACTTCTTCATACGAAGTCAGATTTGGGCGTTCTTTTTATCGATGTTCTTAGTTTAACATATTCTACGACTTTCGTTTAGATCGCTAAGGCTAAATCTCGCTCTATCGTAAATTCACTATCCACGCTTCCCGGTATCGTGCCGGTTCTATCGTGAAACTTCGACGGGTCATAACTTCTTCGTTATAACTCGGATTTCGGCTTCTTTATATGTACAAAAACCTTGTAACATACTCTAAAACTTGGTTAAGATTATTTATTCTAAATAATCTTTTGTCGAAAAGTCATTTCCGACCCCTATTGCCTCTAATTTGACTAGCCCGGATCTACGGACGTTACACATGAAAAATACGAAAAATAGGGGTATGAAGCTCATCTTGGGGATTGTTACACGTTTCAAACCCAACAAATAAAGGGGTACAAATGACTCCAAAAACACTGTTACTTTGCACTAAAAACGTAATACAAGGTATGTAAGGTCGATCTACAGAGACACGAGACAAATGCTTATACCTTTTTGCGCAAGGTACAATATGATCACAAAAGAGGGGGATTTAAATGCAATGATTCAAATAAGAGCTAATTTAATGCGTAAGCAATTGATTAAGTGAAATAAATTCAAGATTTGTAAGTACTCCAACTCTATACAAGACAAATTAGCAATGTGATTCCATGGATGACAAGATATTTGTTTAGTTCTATCTAAGTTGGTACTTGAAAGTGTTAACAAGATCTAACACTTCCCATTCACCACAATAATTAAACAAAACAAACTCTTTGATTAATCCTAACCTTACTAACCTAATCTAAACAAGCTCTTAGAATTAGATTGAAAGGTTGCTTTAAACTTTATGTGAATGTTTCCAACAACACTCAATACTCCTCACAAGCTCGGGGGTGTAAAA